AGGTCTGGATTAGAGTAACCACACTACCAAGATTACAGTCATATTAGAAGAGTCAGATAATGCGATTAAAATTCCAGGAGTCGGATGTTAGATGTTTGGTTTAGAAGAAACGATCATACTATGAAGATGTTTTTACCTGCAGAGACTCGCCTGCGTTAATCTCTGTCTTCATGTGCAGTTTCTATAGAAATCTAGATGTGTGTGTCAAGGTGTCTGCGATGTGTGGGCGTGTCTCTAGTTCCCATGGCGATTGTCTGCATACTGTGCAACATCCTGCTCCTGGTTCCTGAGCTGAAGATCCAGTTCCTGTTGGACGGTCATGTGACTAGAGAGGCGACCTGGGCCACAGGACTGTGGGGCTCTGGCTTCCTGGTGAGTGTGTACATGGACTGGTTCTTATACTTTATATATGTACTGCTTTAACACGCCTCATCCATGTGTGTTTGTGTATGTGGCCAAAGTAGGGACGCTACACATCGCCTCACTTTGGACCTTTCACCTCTTCCTCAAAGTTAAATAAGGTCAGCTTATAAAATGTCTGTTGTCTTTGAAACTAAGCCTCAAACTCTTCACGTCTGGGAAACGATTGGGGTCAACCTGAAACAAAGGCAGATGTGAAATGTAAAAGTGAGATCAGAGGTTAAGTGTCACATGATATTTAGATGCAAAATATGATGTGATAGTCACAACCACATAGTACGATTAAAAAGAACAAAGTAAACAACATGAGAATATACAGAGTATAACATTATTCCCTCAGAAGTAAATCCTGCGCAGAGCTGCCTTAACAGGAGTCTGTAGACTGCTTATTCTTCCTTAACTTAAGTAATGACTTTCTCCAAAGCATCAGTGTGTCTACTACACCTCAATCCCACAAGAGTAGGGATGGGCATTGATAAGATTTTCACGATTCCAGTTTCGATTCTGTTTAACGATTCGATTCTTTTTAAAAAGGAGAACACTAAGGTCGATTAGCTCAGAACTTTGTCTTATATCTTCTCTTTGAACAAGAGAGAAATGTAGGAGTAACATGGCCTTACAAACCCAACAGTGAGATCTTAAGAGATCCAGCCTGCGGCTCTTCAATGGGGCGTCACAGGGTCCCCAGGAAAAAACTGTAAATGTAAAATAATAAAATAAATATTCTTCTGCAGCAATAACAAAGTATAACATAAATTATTCTGTAGCAATAACAAAGTACGGCTGCAAGCCTTTGACCACAAAC